AAGGTTTTGCTAAGGAACTGGAGCTTCGAGACTAAGTAATCAATGTTCATTGTGACAATCAAAGTATCATATATCTGTCCAAGAATTCGCCTTACCATGAAATGACTAAGCACATTAATGTCAAGCTGCATTTTGCTAGAGAAATAATTGAAAAAGGAGAAGTAAAAATGATGAATGTGTCAACTAATCATAATGTTGCCGATATGACCACAAAACTCTTGTCAAGCTGCAAGTTTTTTCATTACCTATAGTTGATAAATCACACGGTGATTGTTCATCTGTATACTTGTTGGAGTTTGTTTTAAGGTGGAGTTTTGTAGCTTATAGTTGGACCAAACTTCAATCATCTAACTAAAACTAATATACCTGCACGAGTATATGATATAACTAAAACTCACTTCTATTAGCTTGTTAGTTTTGACTAGATGTATTAATATACATTCATGCTCTCTCTTTTAAAGATATAAAGTCATAATTCAATTGTAAATAATTCTCATTGTGTAATTGAATGAATCAAAAAATGAAATAGAGTATTCTTGATGTAACTTCTGAATTCACCTTCTCTTTCTTCTTTAACTTTCAATTACATTGACATTTTATCAAACACTTGTTGACATTGAATCACAACAGTTATATTTAATTTTAAATAAAAGTTAATTTAATAATAATAATAATAATAATATACGAGTATTATATAATCACTAATATATTAATTCAAAGATATCTGTTTATGTCATTTTTATATTTATCAATTATCAAAACTGTTATTTTTTTAAACATTTCAATAAATTTATCAATTATTAATCATCAACTATAAAATATCGATTAATTAAATATCAATTAATTACTATGAATTATTTATAAATTATCAACCGACTTATCGATTATCAATTTTTTTTTACCAATTAGAGTGTATGAATATGACTAAAACTGTCCTTTTGTTTTTTTACCAATTAGAGTGTATGAATATGACTAAAACTGTCCTTTTGTTTTAAAACAGGTTAGTTGGTCAAATATAAAACATGAGCTATACTATTAAACAACATAAGAAAGTTGGTATAGTTCTTCAATGTGAGTGAGCAACAATGTCCCAGGAAATTTGTAGCAAACATAAAAGCTCTTTAATCCGCACAGCTCCGGTTGTTGGAAGTTTAAAAGCAAACTTGTGTTACTTCTCCATAGACCTTAGGGTCTATTTAATTAAATACTTATTAGCTTCTAAATTATTTTTATATAACTATATAAATTGTTATTATAGAAAATGGAGAGTTTAATAATATAAAAGTTAAACAAATAGTGATAGAGAACACACAGCACTTAATATTGGTCCCAATCACAAATGTCTTATACTTTTCCATGGCCAAAGTGGGTCCCACAACAGGCCAACTATCAACACCTAAACATGAGTATTTTAGAAGGATCCTGCTAGTTGTTGAAGCATTTCTCACATGTTCTCTGATCTAACTCATTTCACGTTAACCATCAATTGAAATCACCAAAACACCCTTGACCACTACATGGACATGTATATGTAATGTTCCCAAATGTGGCGATACCCTTATCATGGAGAGTTCCTTTTATGCTTCATCTCACTCAAACAAACAAGCCTCGAGTCCTTTACCTAACAACATTATATATGGCCCCTCAAACATCCCTCTCAAACGGTTAGTTAGTTAGATATTCTTTCTTGCCAGCCCGAGACTCAATAATTGAAAGACCCGGTCATCCGTCCAAAGTCATACGGTGTTGAAATTACACTGCATCATCAAATACCTCGAGACCCGCACTCAATTCATGACATTGACGTTTATCCACCATTAAATATTATTTAACAATTATCCGTGTTCACGCCAGGAAACATGAGACATCTCTAACCATTTCTCATATATAAAGTATCTCACGTCTGATCAGAGGTATGTCAGTTAACAATCTCACATCAGACAATATATAATTCGAACATCTGACAATATATAATGTGAATATATATTTATAAATGGAACAATATTCACTTTACAAAGTAAGTTTGTAACGATGACTTAAACTGAAGTACAATTTTAAGATAGTATTAGAGTCATCGATAACGTAAATTTGTAGAATTAAATTGACATACATTTATAATTTTAAAGACTATAATACGTATTTACATTGAATGCCTGAGGATTCAAGTATCTAACATCTGTATCTGTATCACACATGTTAATAAAACTTGGCAATATTTAACATGGGGACCATAGTATTGAAAGAAATTTATCAAATACAGATATGAAAGAGATCTACCCTTCATTTGTTTGTTCTCGTGTGACTTGTTGAATGTTGATACTATGCATGTTTTGACAGTGATGGGGAAGACAAGCAAATGGTTTAGGAATCTTTTGAAAGGGAAGAAAGATAGAGAAAAAGAGAAGGAAGATTACAGAAATGGAACAGAAAATCCAACTACTCCAATCTCAGCAACACCAAAGGAGAAAAGAAGATGGAGTTTCAGAAGATCATCAGCTTCTAAGGAAGTTCATGTTGCAGAATCAAGTGTCGCTTCTTCGGTGCCATTACAAACTGTCATGGATTCTCAGAGTTATCAGAGGAAGCATGTCATGGAAGTTGCTGCGGCCGATGGTGTGATCTTCTTGAATTCTTGTTCCAATGGAGGAACTAGAAGGAGTATTGAAGTGGCTTCTGCTATAAAAATTCAATCTGTCTTTAGATCTTACTTGGTATGTAACATTATGGGAAGTTTGTTTTCTGTTACATTCTATTCTCATGGACTAGTATATTGTACGTTTCATATTTCATTCAATATGAAACTTTGTTAGTACAATACATCTATGCTCAAGATTTGATATCTCGAGCGTGACCTGAGTGGTCTAATGCAGGTGACCCCGACAGATTTTTGATAGGATATAACACTATTTTAAAATCTGAATCAGACTTATCTCAACTCTACAAAACTAATTAAACATATTTTCGGGTCATATCGTACTCTTAACAATTTTTGTTGTTTTATAACAGGCAAGAAAGGCATTGTGTGCTCTTAGAGGAATAGTGAAGCTGCAAGCACTAGTAAGAGGTCATTTAGTGAGAAAACAAGCAACTGAGACACTAAGATGCATGCAAGCTTTGGTCTTAGTGCAAGCAAGAGCTTGTGCTCAAAGGGCTAGAATGTTATCAGAAGACAAGGCAAATCAAAAGCATGCAACCTACAGAAAAGCCGCAGAGGACAGGTTATTCATGCATATGTATAATGTAAGTTCAATTCTGCTGCTAAACTATCTTTCAATTTGTAGATTGAACTTTTCTGATTTGAATATTATAATCACATGTATCAATGTTGTGTGAGACCGATAGTGGCACGTGTCGGACACTAGATATTCCTTATGTTTGAAGTGTGAAGTGTCATAGATATAGAACACAAGATTGTTATTCTTTTCATTAATGTTGAATGTGGTTTTTGTTCATCTAGGAAATGGAAAGAGGCTTAGAAGAGAATATAAAGACAGTGGAGATGGATGTTTGTGAATCCAAAGGTAACTTAAGAAACAGAAACAACACTACAAATCATGAACACCATGGATTCTCTGAACATAGACTTTCAGCATATTATTCACCAAATGGTTCATACTCAAAGAAAGAAAGCTACAAAGTATCACCTACACCATCGGCACGAACTGATTCAAGTCCAAAAGCCTGCAGTGGATATTTCGAGGACGGTTCGTTCAGCACAGCACAGAACAGTCCCTATTACTACTCAGCAGTTTCAAGAGCAGATGATTCAAAACTTCCTTTTTCTTTCACTAGACAATCCTATGAAGAATCCATGTTCAATGAATATCCATTATTTCCAAATTACATGGCTAACACAGAATCATCAAGAGCTAAAGTAAGATCACAGAGTGCACCGAAGCAAAGGCCAGACTCGTCCGAAAGGCAACCGAGTCGGCGAAGAGCTTCTGTGGAAGGAAGAAATGTTCCAAGGCCAGTGAGGATGTTGAGATCATCTTCACATGTTGGAGCCACTGCACAAAACTATCAATATCCATGGTCAATAAAGCTTGATAGATCCTCAGCTTCACTCGATGACAATGAGTGTGAATCTACGAGTACAGTACTAACAAATTCTAACTATTGCAGATCTCTTGTTTCATATAATGTGAGTACTTAACTTTCTCATATTATATGTTTACTCATTTGTTTAGTAATAATACAATATCTGACAAAACTGTCACTGCTTGTTTTGGCTGCAGCCACATGGACCAAGCTACTGACAAATGACAATGCACCTTCCAGTAAAACAAGAGTAGACCTATTTTGCAGGAACTCCAAAAAAAATCTAGAGTTCTTCTGCAGAGTCCTTCTTGTACACTTTAAGCAAGTAACAGTCTTGGTCCTCAAAATTTTAGAGTTCTTGCAAGGGATTTAAGTGTAGTTCCAATTTTGAGTTTTTTCTTCTATGAATTGTGGATTACAATGTGAGAAAACATTTAACAGGTTTATGAACAGGGTATAAACTTCCCAAGTAAGGTATTTCCTAACAGTCGGAGCATAATGAAACAGTGTCATATAAAAATTTCATTGATAGAATATAACAAAACTATTATTTCACTCAAATTAGAGAATACAAAAATTAAAACAAGTGCTACAAAAAATCCTCTCCATTTCATTTTTTTATCGATCCAAACAAAAAAACTTAACCACAGAATTCAGATACAATAATACAATCTACATCTACTGCTTCCAAACTTGCCTCAGCAATGATAAACAAACCATTGTCCAATCTCCACAGTACTAGAATAGATTGTGAGCAATCAAACAATAAATATAATTGCGAAAAAAATGTAACTCATTGAAAGCTTAGATAATTTTGAAAACAAATAAATAAAACAAAAATATGAAGCACATCTTGCCAGCAATATGTTACATTCCAAGGAGACAACAAAACATAGGCACTGTAACTTCCTGTGAGGCTATCATTTTTATAAATATTCGCCAAAAATGAGTAAAGTACATTAAGAACGGGGTGTCTTTTCTTTGAACAAGCGAGGAACAACTTCATGAGAACCAATGTCCAGAACTTCTGGATCCCTGAAAATAGCAAATTATACAGTCTCAAACTAAGTTTATGCAATTGAATGTTGAGTACATGGAATGCTAAGCGCATGAAATAAGTTCTTAACAGTAAAATTTGCATACTAAATATTCAAAGGAGAAAAAGAAAACAAAACTGCTTTAGTTTCACCGATAAGTACATTTTAGGATCTCCTATGAGTAGGCATTGAAAATAAAGCTGATTGTAGAAACCACTACTGTAGGCATTAATCCTAGGAATATTACCAACCATAAATTACAAGTGCATGCAAAAAAGGGTGGGAGAGAAACCTGCAGAGTGTCTGTCCCTTTTCATTCGAACTGGGAATAAACCACAACTTTCTCAGGGAAGGAGACTCAAATTGAACAAAGAAACCATCATTCTGTGCATGTTTCCATTTCCTTGATCCTTGGCCTTTCCAGACCTGCAGACACAGAATGTCATTTAAGAAACTCAAAATGATCAAGACTATGCAATTCTAACTAAAAGACAACAAGCAATCTACCGGAACCACATATTTAACCGAAAAAGCATGACCTCCAATTGAATTTTTCAATTAATTATGGAATTTTAAAAACCTATATTGTGTTCTGTAAAGTATTTCGCCATATTTAATGCATTAAGAAATCAAAAGTTACCTGTGGATAAGCAATGATGTTTTTAGCAGTCACTAAGCAGGCTGCTTTAGAGAAAGACTCCTCAGCATACTGCCTAAGAAATGAAAAACAGCTGCTGTGTGTTTCTGGTGTTTCGAAGGCCTGGAAAATGAAATGAGAGGCCATATTAAAAATCAAAATACCATGAGGGAATTTTGTTGAGTTTATTTTTGATAATTTTAACCCAACAAGATAGACAAACCCAATTGTAAATGTATATTTAGCTTACAGTTTATAAATTAGATATTGCGACAAAAACCTAGTAAACCACAATGAAGACTGTTTGAAAGTTTAATATGAAAATATATACCTTATCGATGTTCACAATTGGGGGGTACTTATCGGTCTGCGTCTTTTCTTTGTCAGGGAGAAAGTAAACTCTAGCATCCACTGAAGAAATTTCATGCCATGATTTTACAGCAGTTTCCATGGTCTCAACAAGGAACGAGAACTTGTCTTTCCAGCTTTCTTCAGATCCATACTTTTCAGACTGCAAGGGGAGATCATTTCAATCCTCACTTTGAACAATTTCAATCACCTTAATTACAATATAAGTCGCGACAAACCCAAAGTTAAAGGAAGCAGATAAAAAAGAACAACTCAGAAACCAAATTACATAAAAAGGATTGAGATACATGACATTCCATTTTTAGGTATTTTTCCTGTTTTTGAGAATTTGGTCTTCAATGTTGAATTTAGATGAATGAATGAACTGTTTGGTTCTGAATGTGTTGATATACTGTCTGTTTCTTAATGTTACACCCCTTTATCAACTCTTAATACAGGTTTTGTATTTGTTATTTTCTTTGCCCCCGTGATTTGAACCCAAAACCTTACTTTAAGAATTCTTAAGCGGTGGGCCAGGTTGAGTTAGTACCAAGCCCTTACACTCTTAAAATGAGGTGCTGGATTCGAATTTTAGGGAGACAAAGAAAAGACCAAATACAAAGTCCGTAATAAGAGCAGAGAAGTGTTTAAATTAAAGAGGTGCAGGGTAGTCAATTGTACTTTCAAGCGGGGTGGATGAAAGGGGAGAGAGCCTCGATGGTTTTTTGGGATAAAAAAGTACTGGTCAAACTAAAGGGACATTTTCATCGTACAACTATAATAACATCAATGTTGTATAGGACAGAGAGTTGGGGAGTAAAATGTCAACACGGGAGTAAACTTAGTGCGGCAGAGATGTGAATGCTACACGAAGATATTAATGCTACACTGGGTGTATGGAAAATAGAAAAACTAGATGAGATAGAACTAGGAATGATAGTATTAGAGTAGAAAATATGGTTGAATCTAGACTTAAGTAGTTTAGGCATGTGTGAAGGAGACTTGTAGATGTCAGGAATAAGGAAAATAAATCATATAAAGAGTAGCACTGTAGCACCAACACCTCTAGAAAAACTAAAGGAGAAAATATCACAAAAGACCTAGAAATCAATGTTTTGGATAAAGATGTGATTATATGATAGAGATTATAGTGTCAAGTTAACTGATCCATATAGCCAACTCCCCCTAGCTCTGTAGCACCAACACCTCTAGACAGAGAGGTGTCTGGTGTCCGACACGAGTCTGTGTCAGTGTCTGACACCGACACAACACATGTAATTACATTCAATTCATTCACTTTTTCTAATTATTACCGGTATCGACGTGTCGATGTCGTGTCCGGCGTCCATGTTTGTGCTTCATAGCCCCTTAGTGGGATAAGGTTTGGTTGTTGTTGTATAGGTATTAATTTATCATTAGTCTGAATGTCATTAAGGTAATCTTTGTATAATTTTGGGTTATTTGGAGCTTCAAGTAATCTAGGATGGTTCATTATCAAGCAAGATAGCAGTTATGTATGAATTTCATACTTTAGAATAGAACTTATTTCTAGACTTCTATTTGTATTTCACCCTCCTTTTGTCTCTCTCCCTGAATTACCTTCTACCCTTTCTCCTATACTCTTTCTACATAATATATTATAATAAAAAAATAATAATTAATAAAAAAATATAATCTTATAGAGCACATACTAGTTGAGCACTATTAGGATTATAGCCGGAACAAAAGGAGTGTTAGCAACACAGACATCCTAACACACCCTCTTTTATCCGTTAAAATTCATAAGGGCCCTACCAAAATTATATGGTACCCACATAATTTAGCATCCCATATGAATTCCAACCAATAGAAGAGAGTGTGTTGGGATGTGTGTTCTTAGCACTATTCACCAGAACAATTGTACTAACCAATTCAGGTTTCAATGTATCTAAATGTTTGGCCATGTCAACATTTGATCTCATATTCTCCACTTCTTGAGCTCGCTTGCTATCTTTCGCTAGTTGGTTTATCTTCTTTATCTTTTTTGATACTTCTTGACTTTGTGGGTTATACTGCGAAGCGATTTGAAAGGAAGCTAATGCCTACAAATATTTACATGAGCAAACGCATCAGAATCAAAAACCCAGAATTTAGCAGGTTACCAAGCTTTCAAACAAAAGCAGTATTGTCAATCGGGAATCACATAAAATAGTGGCTAGTTCAAATTAAGCTACACTACAGTGCTATAGGAGCTGTTTGAAAACACTTTCTTCTCAAATGCTTACATCATCATATCGTTTCAAGGCCTCCAGTATGCACCCCCTCCGGAAATGTCCCTGGAAGTGTATTCAAGTAGAATCACTGATAAGTGTATTTTTAAGGGTACAATCACGAACATTAAGAAAAGATGAAAAAAAACACCTTACCTTTTCCCATTGGGGCTTTAATTTAATAGTCATGTCAGCATCATCGAGAGCTTTGTTGAGCTTATCCAACTGCAGCAATGCTGCAGCACGATTACTGTCGCACAACGTATGCGCACAGAAAATGGATCAGCATAAGATATTTATGAATTGGGTTAGCGTGACATATTCCACAATTTAAATGCATAAATCCAAAAGCACTCATTTTGCTCAAAGAAATTGCACTGAATAACTAACTTCAATCGCATGTCGAATCATGAAGTAGACTTTTGAAACAGAACACAAAAGGTAAAAGCATGATCTGTTTCTGTTTGTCAATAACAATACAGTTTAAAATAATATAAAGATAATTCCAGCACATAGCAGAGGCCTATGAAGTTTACATGGAGGACTATTTAGTTACGAAACAAGACGTGCAACCGCCAGAGAACATAGTTCCTTTAGAAAAAAAGGAAACATGATCCTACGCCACCAAGCAATTAATATTATATGGATAGGAATAGGATGGCAGGATACCATATATGTTAAGGAAATGAAAGGCACTCACTGGAACTCGCTCTTTAAACGCTGGTTATGCTGATTCTCTACTACAGTAACAGTAATTTTTTTACAGAATACTGTGTCCATTCAATAAATAAGATTCATGTACATTCAAGGCACAAGTCTCGACTCAGTCAAAGACTTGGAGGTTAAGGAAACGTCGCCAATCATAAGAAGTGGGAGATCGAGAATTGCACAGCAAAGGGCTATTCAATTTTGAGAGAATGTACACAAGGATGCCTATTTAGAGGCTTAGTCGCTTAGATTGGGGGCTATTTCAACAAAACTCAGTATACTAACCCAACGCACTCTGAGTGTCATTGATTACATTACAACCCAGTAAATAAGTTCAACATAAAAAATCTGAGTAAGCTTCTCAACAAAGAGAGGAAAATTAAAAGAATCTTGTAATAACTAAGAGTTTCTTAAACAACGGCTTCTAGATCTTTAATTTCAGAAACTCCTACAATTAACTTCTCTATAAATATTTATAAGGTTAAAACAAAATTTCAGTAAGTACTTAATTGAAAAGCTCTCATGAGCTAAAAGCTAATTAAAACTAGGCTACAAAGTCTACTATTCTGCAAGGCTTCACATCTGACAGAGAGAACTCTCTTTTACTTCTTAAGTGAAACAGTGATCAAATTCTCTGCTTGAATAAACAACTTAACTAAATACTTATCATATAAGTGCTTATATATAAGCTATTTAATTAGAATTTTAAAATAAAATCAAACTGTTGTCATTTATCTATAAGTTATTTTCATAAACTCTCAATAAAACTTAACACTTCACAATCTATAAGCATGAAGCAAAAAACTAAAAAAGATTCCCTTTTGCTACAGAACAAATAAACAATTAAAAAACTCATAAACCCAGATCGAGAAAACCACAATGCGGAGACAAAGTTACAGCAAAAACCGAAACCCAACAATTGAATCAAGTGGAAAACAATACCCAAAAGAGAAAAGGTGGTGAATTTGAAAGGAAGAACAAAAGGTACCTATAAAGAGTGGGATTTGAAGGGTCCTTTTTGATGGCTTGAGTGTAGAGTGCAGCAGCTTTGAGATACTTGCCGGACTTGAAAAACTCGTTTCCTTGATCCTTCAGAGACATCTCCGAACTTGATCCTTCTTTTGTTTCTGCCATGATGTTTGTTTGTTTCTTTTGGTGTTTTAGCTAATGAATAAAGTTTATGATTCGATCGGTGGGAAAGATTTTGTAGGGTTTACTCAATTTTTGGGTCTTTCTTAAACCTTCCCTTCAGTTCTTGAATTCTTTTTGCTTAGGCTGGTTATCCATTAACCACTAACGTTTTTTTATTGCGCTAATTTGTATATGTTATTTGATTTTATTTATATAATAATATAATTTATTTTATTACACTTAATTGATCTATATTTTATCATATTCATTTTGTAACTTTTGTTTTAATTAAATTTACTTTTGGAAGAAAAGAGGATAGAAATTTCCTAGATAAAAGATTACATATCAATCAATCAAATATTTGGACTTGAGTAGTAAACGAGTTTTTGTTAAGGAACGAAGGTTCGGAGGATACTGAATTCGATCTCTGATAGGAATAATATTTAGTCAGACTTATCACCTTTTAAACCGAACTTTTGATTACTAAGACTCCTTTTTTCTAGAAATCAGTGGGTGAAAACAAAAAAGCTTACTCATCATAAATATGACAAGTTTGCACCACGCAATCCGTAAATCACGGCTAGCAAATAGTTAGTTTGTCATCTCATTCTTTCTATATAAATAGGGAATGCGCCAAATTGAGGTAAAATGTTTTAAATTCAATTTCACCTCACTCTTTTTTCTCACATACTAATTGAGCATTAGAGTGCTAACCTTGCAGGTGACCCAACTCTACCGCACCGAAAGCGACAATCTGTCATCATTGTTGTTCCTTCTCTCATTTTTGGATCCATAACAAAATAGTGGTGTCGTCTGTGGGAATCGACTTTAATTCCTACCATTTCCATGAATTTACATTCTCTCTAAAACTTTGCAGTTTGTAACCTCCTATGATCAACGAAGCAAAAATATTTGCGATCAAACGCAAAGATTCATTGCGCCTTGATTCAACCAAGTGTAATCTCAATTTTATTCCTTGGATCTCCAGATCTTTGGTTCTTATAATTTTTAATGATGGTTGGATCTAAAGCTACCAGATCAGTCATTGCACACGAAGCTCCTGCAGTTGCTCTAGCAGCGAACAATCCTCCGCCGCAAAACATCATAGATCCTAAAACAGTTGTTCCACTGCACCAAATTTGGTTTGAGCTTCGCAATTAGCCAAATCTATTCAAATTACTTCGATAGAGACTCCTATTATGCCTCTAGATACGCAACTTGAAGCCTTACTTGCCTCCACACTCTACAAGAGGACGTCGGCATGCTAGGTGCTGATAAACTATTGAACAACATGTTTAACATCGTTCAGAAGTAAAATACACACACTGTCGCTGTGAGAATCGGAGACCAAAGCTATCAGATTAGCTTGGCTCACAAAATAATGATATCACCACCGAACTTTTATTTTTCCAAGGGAATGGAGAAAAGATCGAACAAAAATCGTAAGTAAACATTCAAAGAAAAAAGCAAGGCCTAAAGCTAAGCAATAGAGATATCAAAGGTACAGGGGTTGGTTATACTAAGGGAAGGTACTAGCACCCTAAGTATCTACAGTACTCTATAAGAACCTTTTGAAAAACTTGTGTTTTGGCTAAAAATTGTTTGCTAAATGTAAGGATGGGTAAAGTAAGGTGAAAAGGTTGGAAAAAATAAAGAAAAAGGTAACTCGATAGGATCTCGCAATCCTATGCCTACGTATCCTTAATAGGAAGTCAGAGCAATCGTAGTTCAGAACTACGAGTTTATAGGTTTTAAGAACCAAGTACAACAGTAAAGATAGAATCATACAAGAAGTAAACACATGACAATAAGTCAACATACAATCCCTCTTCCCTTGGATTAGGTCACAAGTGCAAAAGAGAACAACAAATACATGGGAAATCATCATGTAAATGGCATCAAATAAAGACACAGATATAGTACATGGCAAGAACGTCATGTATAGTCAGACAAACAAGAAATCACATAATACACATGGTAAAATATCATGGTAATCAAGGTAAATGTAATCAACAACACAAAGTACATGGAAAAGAATCATGGACTAAGGCAACAAAAATCACAGAATACATGGGAAGGCATCATGTAATCAACAGGTACACATGGCAAAGTATCATGGTGAAAACAGATAGAAAGTACAACATACATGGAAAAGCATCATGCATAAGCAGACAAAGATACACGGCAAAGCATCGCGTAATCAATCAATAACATTCACGGTAAAGCACCGTGATAAACAGATACAGATACGTGGCAAAGCATCACGTAATCAATAAATAGCATTCACGACAAAGCATCATGGTAATCAGACAACAAGAAAGTCAACAAAGATACATGGCAAAGCATCATGTATTATGAACAACAAACAAAATGAACCAAATACACATGGTAAAGCATCGTGTAAAAACAACGAACAATATCAACAACAGTCACGACAAAGCATCATATATCAGCAAATCAGGTCAACAAGAAACATGGTAAAGCGTCATGTAGAAGCAACAGAGGTATACAGTACATGGCAAAAACATCATGTATGATACACACAAAATCAACAAACAGAAAGTACACGACAAAACATCGTGTAGAAACAAGTAGAATCAACAGAACACACATGGCAAAACATCACGTATAGAAGTAACATATATATGTGGCAAAGCATCACGTAATCAACAGAGGTACACGGAAAAATACCGTGTATAATCAAATGCAATCAATAAGGCATACATGGAAAAACATCAAAAATCGATCCAAATATTCACGTGCGGATACATCACAAGGACCAAAATTCAACATGGAAAAACAACAAGTCAAAATCAAATAAATAAAATGCTAAAATAATTTCATAAAAAAATAACATGCATATCATATTTTTTTGTCATTTTAATGTTATCATGAAATTAACAGTTAACAAACTAATTAACAATTTAATATAAATAGGGAAGAATAATTTTTGAAATTTATAATATATAATATAATAGAAATGAAAATCAAAAGAAATAAGTAAATAAATAAAAAAGGGTGAGTGTGGATCTAAAAGGGGTGTGATTAATAAAATCTAATTGGGCCTAAAGAAAAATCCAATAAAAAAACCAACTTATCTAATATTAGTAATAATAGTAAAATAAAAGAAAGAAAAAAAATAAAATAAAAAACATAAATTACCAAAAAGGAAAGTCGCGCTTTCTTCTTCTTCAATGGTTTCACGTGTCGTCTCTCGCAAACGAAAAAAAGGTGATGGCGGTGGTGCTCGGTTAATCTCGCCAAAAACAGTGGTTGTTGAGCTGTTGTAGGAGAAATGAGTTGAGGCGGAGTAGCAATGCGTATCACAAGGCTTTTGTAGGTTGAAGTTGCCTTTGAAACTAAGATCTGATGCATGTGTGCGGTCATTTGAATCGTTGTGATGAAGGGTATGCGAGATGTTTCTGCAATGGAAATGAAAAAGGGAGCTGAAATGTTACTTAATGGTTGTGCTATTGTTGATGAATCCTCGATGAGTGAAGAGGTTATACAGTTATTCCAACTGCAGAAGTTTCGGAAGCAGATCAGAGGTTGCTTCAATGGTGTCTGCACTACAAGTTGTGATGAAAAGATGAGGGTGAAAGTGTGTGTTGGCTGGAAGTTTCGACTAAAGAAAGACGACACAAAGACTGGCTTGTGGGTCGACAGGCTAGGAAATATGGTGAAGGAAATGAGGTGAGTCGACGCCAACAGAGGAAGGCTTGTGGGTCAACTCAGGTAGGTTTTGTCGACAAGGTCGACTGATGGGCAAGGAGGTCAATGCAAAGGAGGAAAACATTTGAGCGGGAGGAAGATTTGAAAGCTGAGAACATGGAAAGTTACAGAAGTGGTGGAAGGACATGTGGCGCCACCAAATTCAACATGGCAATAATTTTATTTTTCTATTTGAGGCAATGTCCAGTTTCATTTTAAGAGGACGCATTTTATAATATTGTAAGGGAAAAACACTCTGAGTACCAAGCGTTAAGAGAAAAGAGTTTCATTCCTGTAAAATGTATGATCGCGTCCACATTTCCTCTTAATAGTAATTTATATCATCAATTTTAAATATTTCTTGTCTTGTTATTGTTTTTGTCTTTTCTTGTTTATGCATTCATCTTTATTTAAGTTTACACAGTCTTTCTCAAATTTATCTTCAACCTACTCTAAACAACATCATTCCACCATCATCCCATACACTCAAAACCATCATTCTGGGACTTGTTTGGCTGGTCCCGTAAGTGAACCTGCATTAGGAGGTAAGAGGTTGTTCGCGCAAAAACTACGTGTGAGCAAATTGGCACACCTGGTGGAACCCGTCGATTTGGGTGTATGTATCTGCACAGTGGTAAGATGGTGATACCACGTCCAAACGAAGAACCGTCTTCGGAGGGAAATACGATTGTGACTTAAACAACCGACGTTGACGCTGACATTGTGTCTGGGATTTTGACTGCTTATAGTGGGTCTATCGTGAGGCAACGTCGGCTTGAACCTAAGCATATGGTAACAGGAACTGGGGGAAATGTATGCCTAGTTTCATAATGCCCACACCCCCGACCTTTGGGATGCCGATAGAGTTCATGTCGAGTCTGCATCACAATGGCCCACTCTTTGGGGAAAGCTCTTCGTCAGCTTTTTCGTCGTATCAGGGGTTAGGGCCTTTGGAGAACCAAGTTACTAGACCCTCAGGGTTTAGTGTTCTGTCACTTTTGTTTCCAACTTTCACTTCAAGTTCTGTCGCCATTATGAGACAACAGATGAATGAAAATAATCACGAAATGGTCCACATGTTGAACCAGCAAATGGGCACCATATTAAGACCACTAATACAAGATTCGACTCAGAGTTACCAATAATTGGCAACTCAGATGATGCGGATAGGTGATTTTTTAGGCGCTCCTAGGGCCCTGGGTCGGCAAACGCTGCCGCCTCGACCTGAGACGCTAATTCAATAAGACGAAGTCTTCGACGAAACAATTAACCAACAACCCCCATGAGGTTGA